GCCTTCTTTAAAATTCAATGCATATGTAAAGAAATATACGGTAACCCGAATTTACCACACTCGCAAAATCGCGCACAGCCAACCATACACCCAGTATGGTAACGCGATTCGCGATTTTGCGCTATCATACTGGGTGTATGGTCGGCTGTGTGCGATTTTGCGTGTGTGGTAAAATCGCATAACAGCAAAATCGCATAACAGCCGAGCATACACCCAGCAGCGCTGCTGATGCCTGAACGGTATGTGGAATGAAGTGGGTGGGCATCGGGAGGCCACTATGGCACGGGGCAAGCACTATGGGCAGTCTATCTGAAGTGTACCTGGCGTATAAGACGACCCCCCACTTGGAGGCATATTTTTCAGGGCCAAAAAATCGTCTTATACGCCGGCAAATACGTAATTGTTGTAACAATCTTATCTATACTGCTTATTTTATACCAGGCACTGTTTACACACTGTATATGTTAAACTTTTTCAACTCCTTCCAACAACCTAATGAGGTGGGAACTATTATTATCCTTATTTTACAGATGAAGAAACAGAAGTTAAACAAAAAAACAAACTTGGCCCAGGTCAGAGAGCTAATAAGTGGCAGAACTACTCATAGATGATGCATAGTTTATGCGTCTCTGAGAAGTGGAAGAAATATTTCATCATCAGAAATTCTAACCAGACACTTTATATACTCTGTAACATAAGGCAGGTGAGAACGTTGAGACAGTAGTTAGAATTTAAGTAAAAGTAGATCACTGTATATTAAATTCCTTCAGTCAACAAATATTTAATGAGTGACGTTATGTGCCAGGGTTTCAGGCAATGAAGATATAGTGCAATTAAACCAGTTCCTGAACTCATGGAGCATACATTCTAGTTGTGGAAAGAAAACCACTTTTTAAAAACAGTACAAAATATGTCAGATGGTGATAAAAAGTTATAAAGAAAAATAGAGCTGGAAAGCAGGAGGGAGGGAGGTTATTAGCCAATATCATACTCAATGGGCAAAAACTAAAACCATTTCCCCTAAAAACAGGAACAAGACAGATACCCACTTTCACCACTCCTGATCGACATAGTACTGGAAGTGCTAGCCATAGCAATCAGACAAGAAATAAAAGGCAGCAAAATTGGAAAAGAAGTAAAACTGTCATTATTCACAGATGACAAGATATTGTACATAGAAAACCCCAAATCCACCAAAAAACTACTAGACTTAACAAATGAATTTGGCAATATAGCAGGATACAAAATTAACATCCAGAAATCTATGGTTTTTTAATAAACCAATAATGAACTCACAGAAAGAGAAATTTAAAAAATCAATCCCATTTACCATTACAACAACAACAAAAAAGATATCTAGGCATAAACTTAACTAAGGAGGTAAAAGACCTGCACTTGGAAAACTATAGGATGTTGAAAAAAGAGATAAGGAAGACATAAACAAATGGAAGAATATACTGTGTTTATGGACTGGTAAAACCAACATCATTAAAATGTTTATACTACCCAAAGCAATCTATAGATTCAATGCAATCCCCATTAAGATACCAATGGAATATTTCACAGACCTAGAACAAACTCTCCAAAAATTCATCTGGAATAAAAAAAGACCCCGAATAGCTGCAGCAATCCTGAGAAAGAAGAACAAAGTTGGAGGGATCACAATATCAGATATCAAGCTATATTACAAAGCCACTATTCTCAGAACTGCCTGGTACTGGCACAAAAACAGACATATACCAGTAGACTAATGGAATCGAACAGAGAACCTAGAAATCGACCCAAGCCATATGCTCAATTAATATTTGACAAAGGAGGCAAGAGCATACAATGGAGTAAGATAGTGTCTTCAATAAATGGTGTTGGGAAAATTGGACAGATACATGCAGAAAAAGGAAACTAGACCACTAAACTTATATCATACACAAAAATAAACTCAAAATGGGTAAAGGACATAAACGTAAGACGGGAAACCATAAAAATCTTTGAAAAATCCATAGGCAGCAAAATATCAGACTTATATCACAGCAATATCTTTACCAATACAACTTAGGGCAATGGAAACTAAGGAGAAAATAAACAGATGGGACTACATCAAAATAAAAAGCTTCAGCACAGCAAAAGAAACCATCAACAAAACAACAAGAAAACCGACTGAATGGGAGAACATATTTGGCAATGCTATCTCAGATAAGGATTTAATCTCCAAAATTTACAGAGAATTTATACAACGTAACAAAAGTAAGATAATCCAATAAAAAAAATGGGCAAAGGACCTAAATAGGCACTTTTCAAAAGAGGACATACAAAAGGCCAAGAGACATATGA